GCATTCAGAAAAAGACTAACACAACTCTGTCAGTTCATCTCATAACTCCTATCTTTCTATCTATCTATCTATCTGAAAAAATGCATTTTGGATGGAAATGGAAACACACAATTTTGGTGCTCTACTAAGTGTTTACAGCACCAAGATGGTGTAGGTGGGAAAATCTTAACTTCCCTTTGTGTTCAATAATAAAGGAACACTCACAACAACTGAGCTCCATATATCTCGGACTTTAGATGCACACACACACACACACACACACACACACACACACGTTCTCGCTCTGTTTTTGTTAATTTCATAACATTTGTTGAATTGAATTATACACCCCCAGAACAGAAGTAAAACTGTGTTGAGTCCTTGTCGTGGTCCCAGTATTGTCTAAAGATGCTTCTGGAAGAAACTTCCTCAAGTGTTTGTTCCAGGCTCAGCTGCTGCTGTCGATCCTCCTGTCTGCATTTCAAGCAACAGCTTCTGAAGACAACTGGTGCTGGCCCATGACGCGCGCGCGCGCGCACACACACACACACACACACACACACACACACAGAGATCATAAAGTGTAAAATATTCCCATGACCATTAGGGATATTGATGTGGAGATTCATTTTCTAAGGATGTCACAGCTCAGAGAAATGAAAGATACTCAGGTTAGGCAGCCAACAGTGCAGGTATAGTATTAAAGCATTAACTAAATACTTATTGGAAATAAGTAATAACTTTGGTAGCAACTGTTTAAGTCATTAATGATATACTGTGTGAGTTTTTGCTCCTTTCTTCCTGTCTGTGCTCCAACAGGAGAGTGCGATGGCTGGCCAGGCTTCATTAAACATGAATTTGAATATTTTACTCAAATAGCCTCTGAAGTCATCAGATCATGTGATGGATGTGCAGCTGGCAACCCTGTGATGCTGTTATGTCCATTTGGACACAAATCTCTCCAGAATGTGTCCAGCACCTTGTTGAATCTCTGCCACGAATAATTAAAGCAGTTCTGAAGGCAAAAAGGGGCTCAGACTCAGTGCTAGATAGTGTGCAAGCTCTACTCTTCCTTTGTATCCCTCCCCTACCCAGCAACTATAGAAAGTTGGAGATGATAGAAAACTTGCTTTGTAAGAAAAATGTTCAGGATAGTACTCTGCTGTTAAGTGTGTCGTGTTTATGATTGAAAAAACTGACAAACAAATAAACTTTCTCACTCTTTCTATCTATCATAACTCCAGGAGCTCTGTTGCAAACTTCACAAGCAGATTGATTTGGTGGATGAGGAGCGATACAACATGGAGGTCAAAGTGGCAAAATCCAACAAGGTATTGTATTCAGAAGCTTCTTCTGCCATTATAAAGTTATACAGTTATACAGTGCTTAACAAGGTTAATGGAACACCTCCCGATGTAAGGTTTATGCCACAGCTCCCCTAAAGTAACAGTATATGTAATTGCCAAAATCATTTTTCATTTTTTCTGTATTGGCAAGGTCTTTAATCAAAGTGACATTTTTTTAGTCTAAAAATAATTTTTAAAAATTTATTCTAATTTATTCTAAAATGTTTGTTGTTGTTATTACCAAAACACATATGTCTGAACAACAGTGTTCTTTGTCAGGTTGATGACCTTAAGTTGAAGATTCAGTATCTGAATGGGAGGTTTAAGAAGCCAGTCCTGAACGAGGCGCGGATGTCAGCCGATGCCATGCTGGCTGCCCTGCTGGCTGCCCTGGGCTCCAAACATAAAGTGTCCATGGACCTGAGAGCCAGCCTTAAGCAGGTTAAGAAGGAAGTGAAGGATGAGGTAGGTACTTTAGATGTTATATTAGGCAGATGGAGTGCATCATTCACTGAAAAGAATTAGTAAGATCAGAACGCAACATGAAAGGCTTCAC